CTGCTGACAGTAAAGATGAAGGAATTTGCTGTGTATATATGAGAGTCATGGATACTTGTTGCATTAAAAAGCATTAAATTAGAGTTGCTCATTCCTGTATAAACCCCGTTTTACAACAAGACATATGGTGGTCCATTATATCAACCTATTTTCCGGCATTTGAGACTTTCAGTAAACACCAGTGTTGTGATATTTGCCTGGTAACGGGTGTAAACTAAGTACAGAAAGCTCTGATCTGGGCCAGGTTTTTACATGCTTACTCTTTATATAAATTGAATTGGAGCTGCACAAAACATGATGAAGCAAAGATTGGAGGGAGGACTGCCTGATGACTCTAATGGCAAAAATGGGCAGGGCTATGAAGATTGTTCGGGGAACAGTTGGGGCATGATGGGAGCTGTTCTGTTTGAAAGATGAGGTCCAACTAAGCCAGGTTTATAGACTAAGCTAGTTTTATGAAACATCCCTCTGGTTATTGCAGAAAAGTCCAAACCCTGACCTACCAGGAGAGGGTGTAGAGGTTGGTTCAGTAACACTTGGCCTAGTGGCAGCTATAATTTTTAAATAGACATACAAAAAAAAACAAATGTATACTAAGTTATCAGACCAGGACATTTTTATGAATGGAAAAAACAAAACATTATACACTTTATTTAAAAACCAGCTGTTAGTCAGCCTTATATTTTGAGAATGTGTTTAAGAGCATCTACACAAATTACCAAACTAGAAAAGGTACAACTATTTTCCATGTGAAAGCCAGATTGTTCATTCTTTGTCTTTTCTAAAAAGTGCTTTAAATCAGTCCTACCTGTCTTTATCTATCCTGGGTCAGATCCTGATCGTTTGAAAAAGATGACAGGCAGTCAAGGCAGCAGAATAAAGCGTTAGCCTTGCTGCATGCAGTTAGCCAAGCCTTGTAGCTAAAGATGGTGTATTGTCTTAAACTGTTTTTGGACTGCTGATTAATTTTGATGTTCGGCTGATCAGGTCCGAGCAATTTCACCTCCAGCTTCTCTTGGTAAGTTTGATTTAAGGGATTTCACTTCCACGACTGGACCTGTCAATCACCCGCACTACGAATGTGAGGACAGTTCCTTCTAGCTCAGGCTGCAGCTCTCCTGCGCCCCCAGCCCTCTCATACTTCTGTATTGCAAAGGAGCCACTGTGCATGTACAACTTTTAATGAGGGTCTATGGCCAAAGATTTCTGCTACCTAGTTTGGAAATACGTCACCAATCTATCGAAAAACTAAACAGCTTTACTTGCAATTAAAGATTAAACATTAGTCTTGCACATCTAAAAATATGTATCAATACATTTCGAAATATTTTAACTTTAAAAAATTTTTTATGTCTTAAGTTTGGGTGGGTGGGTCGGCTCCGTAGCGCCCTCTATTGGCCAGCTGCCACTAACCTGGCCTCTAATCTGGAGCGTCAAACTAGTCCTTGAAGGACATGTCGAGCAGCTTTCTCATGTGTAGAAATGATTCCAGTGTCCTCAACTACAATTTATTACAACCAGTTGACTTTTTACATTTCTTAGAAAATAGAAGTTGTATACAATATTAAAAGAACAAAAACGCATTTCATTTAAAATACACATTAGATTAGAACATGTCGCAGAGACGGTAAGGATGAAGCTTCTAGGCTCGAAAGTTTTAAACCAGTCTGCAGAATAAATCTTCCAGGGTTAACCCAACCCCACCTCTGTCCAAAGTGCAGTCCGGCCAGGTCCACTTCCTTAAGAACCAACTGTTCCTGCGGCGGAGCTTTGACAGGAAACCTGGCCTCCATGAACCGAGTTGTCATGGTAACAGCTCATTGGGGATTTCCACGGTCCAGAGGTCACGATTCCCTCGAGTTTTCAAAGGCCCCTTTAGCCAGCGGGGATTAGACAGCTGCGTCAGGTGTTTCTCCTGTAGACCAATTAGAACGGCAGACCGCTCAAGATCCTGTAGCTCCGCCTCTGGCAAGGAAGCAGGACACACCCAGGTCTCGCCCACATCCACCAGTCCTTACAAAAACAGAAAAAAACAAAAACAGGTGATGCCTTCAGGGCCTAATTTTAGAAATGTAAATTTAATTGAAAACCGGACGCCCTGGGTATCCGCTTGCAGCGAGCCAGGTTTCAGTTATCTTGAGTAGGATTGTTTAAGCTAACTCTGAGTTTGTTCTACCTCCTTAAGCATTACAAATTTTCTCTACAGTCAATTTTATGTCAGACATTCTCACCCAGAACATCAATCTTATGATACAACAGCACTTTGTGTTTCTGCGATGGCCGAATGTCAAGGATGCTACTGTAGCATTTAGCCAGTTAGTTATAGTAGAGGTGCAAAGTGAGCTCCTTCGCAATCTTCTGGTCGTTCACAGCTTGGTGAGGTCTGGTTTTCATATAAGTGGAAATTTTCCCCTGCTAGTCATGCAGTCATACTAAATAAAGGAGATGGTTTTATGTCGTATTACATTTTTAAATCTGTTCAAGTAGGCCCGAAACTTTAATCTATAATTAATAATTGATTACAGCAGCCAAGCTGATATTTCACTCCAGGATGGAGTCACAGCCAAACAGGAACAGCCCAGATGAAGCTACTATGATGAGAAAAAGCAGATAAAATAAAGTTAGAGATTGAACTAACAGATTCTGCAGAATGGGAGAATAAAGACAGAATGAAGCAGAATGCCCTATGTCCTCCAGCAGTCTAAGCCTATAGCAGCATAACTATAGAGATAGCTCAGGATAACCTGAGCCACTCTAACTATAAGCTTT